TCCGGTCACGATGGTTTTCCTCCTTACGGCAGAAGAGTCTGGCTCCCTCCGCCCTGATTAACCGCAGGGGAAAGGAGGGTCTCGAAGTGGGGATCACCCCTTATTCCCACTTTATCCTTGCTGGAATTGATGATTTTTTTTTGCATTTTTGGACTCTCTCCTGCATCCTCTGCTGAAGCAGCTGGTGTGCCAGCGCTGTTCCCTGCACAGCCAAACCCAAAACAAAATAAACCCAAACCCTTTCAGTCCTGATCCCTCCAAGTTTCTGCATCTTTGTCCTCACAAGATGCAGTTGCTAAATACTTTCTCCAACAGGCATCAGGAGTTATCACTCGTTAACTGTCGAAACTCTAATGCAGTTTCTCTCTGGCTGTTAAGGACACATCACCATCGTCAACTACCTCCTCAACTACTACCCCGCGCTTGAGGTGGACAAGCGAGACCCCCGGGGCCTGACGGCGCTGATGAAGGCCGCGATGCAGGGGGAGGAGGACTGCGTGGCTGCCCTGCTCCTGGCCGGTGAGCATCTCCCCAGGGACTTTCCGGGATTTTTTGGGAAGGGGTGGCACTGCTGCTCACCCTGTGCCCTGGGGTGGGACAGGGTGGGACGCTGAGGTGAATCCCGGTGCCTCCAGGAGCAGACCTGCAAGCGGTGGATCCCGTCAAGGGGAAGACGGCCAGGGAGTGGGCAGCCTTCACCGGCCGCTTTGAGACAACCATGCGGATCCGGAGCCTCCTGCGGTGCCCGATCCGGCGCCTCCTGCGGTGCCCGCGGGCGGAGCAGTTTGGCACCCAGTACCAGCCCGAGTGGCCAGCCCTGGCTGAGCTGGTGGCCAAAGCCCTGAGACCCAAATCCAGGGGCAAGAGGCTGTCGGAGAAGATCCGATCCATGTTCACCTTCAACTTCCCCCACGACCACAAGGAGGATGGCATGATGGACCACATGGTGAGGATGACCACCTCCCTCGCCAGCCCCTTTGTGGCCACCGCTTGCCAAACCATCTGCCCCGACAGCCCCCCAGAGGTGGGCAAGCACAGGCTGTCTGTGCCAGAGATCCTCGGGCAGCATGTGCTGGATCCGGACGTCGAGCCAGAACCCACCTCGTGCCCCAGCACCAGTGCATCCTCTTGCAACGGTCAAGCTGTGTCGGAGATCCGGCTCCTACCACCACACTGGCCAGCCAGTGGCCTCCTGAGCTTCCTGCCCCTGCGGCGTGGGAACAGCATCTTCCCCAGAGAGCCCATCCCGAAAATCGAAGTGAGCAAAGCCTCCTGCCTGACTGCCCGCCCGAGGGAGTGGAGGCAGCACGGGAAGGACAAGAACCTGCTGCAGCCACCCAAGTGGAGGTACAAGGAGCTGAAGGAGGAGAGAGTGGCCAAGGAGGCGAAAAGCGAGGAGAAAAAGAAGAAAGGGGGGAAGAGATGCTAAGGAAGGAGTGTCAGGGTGGGGGCGAGGTCCCAGCTGTCCCCTTGGACCTGCTTGCTTTTTTGGCACGGGGTGGCTTCCTTCCCTGGCAGGATGGTGATGCCTGAGGGAGGAGGATGCTGTGGACGTACCCAGCTGAGATGCCCCAGCCCCTGTGGTCCCAGGTCCCTGACCCCCTGCCCAGCCCCTCGTCCTCTCCTGCCTCGAGGGCGGCGGCCACCCCAGCCCGGCTCTGGTCGGGCTGGGCTCTGACGTGTTGAGACCCTGCCCTGGGCCGGGCTCTGGGTCTGCAGGGAGCAGGTCTGTGGCAGAAGCTGCTCTTTTTCTTTCCCTTTTTTTTTTCCTCTTTGATCTTCCTGAGATCTTGATATTGCATGGTGGAATGTGGCCGTGCAAATTAAAATGGAAGTGGTTGCCATGTTAACAGGATTGATTTAGTGAATAAAGCTCAGGGTTGCTTGTTGGGCTGGCAGGTGCTGCCAGTGTCCCCTGTCACCCCCTCGGTGACATTAATTTCCCCACTCCTGTGTATTCCTGGGTTGCAGATGGACAAACAGTCTCAGCACTGGGAAGCATCTCCATGCTGCAGGAGGGCTAACAGGACCTCCGGGTGCCAGGCACAGGCTGGAAACGGAACCTGACGTGCTCATGGGGTCCATCCCCCGCTGCCCGACAGCCCAGCTGCCCTCCAGAGGGGGGACGGTCGGAGAGGAGGCAGCTTTTGTGCTCCAACATTACCCAGGACAGGACCCAGTGGTCCCTGTTCCCAAGCAAACCACCCGCTGGGAGCTCCAGCCTGTGTCCACACGGAGCCCCGGGACCCCTCACCTGCACCCGTGCAGCCCCTGGGACCCCCTCCCCTAGGGAGCTCTGCAGCTGCTTTTCTTTTTTTTTCTTTTTTTCTTTTTTAACTGGATGTGCTGCAGCGGCAGTGAGCTTGTGCTCCCCATATTTCAAGCTCCTCTTAAATCTGGCTCCATCCCAGGGCGTAGGAAAGTGAAACCGGGGTGCTGGCTGTCCTCAGCTGCTGTGCTGGCTCCTGCAGTGCCTGAACACCCGGGGTTTGACCCCCCCAGGGAGAGCGACTGGCAGCGAGAGCCTCTCGCAGCGCTGGTTATCCAGGTAGCAAATAACCCTTGGCCAGGCATGCAGCCCAGGATGGAGCCCCCTCCCTTTGCCCCCCCCTTCTTTAAGGGGACAAAAGCCCCTACTCCCCACTTTTAGGCTGCAGCTCTGCCTTTCAGGGGGACGGGGAGGTTTGGGCTGAGTCGTGGGCAGGCGGGGAAGGATGCTC